ACACCTGCTGGGCTTCTTTTACCATGGCTTAAGTAGCTGTGTGGATTTTTTCCTTAACTTCCAAATAATTAGGGAATTAAATTTAGAAGTGGAGCATCCAAGAATTTTAGATTATGGTTGAATTGTAATGATGAGAAAACCCTAAAAAAAAAAAAAAGACGAAGAAGAAAAAAAACAAGAAAAGGAACTTAAGAGTTTAAAATTTCATAAGCACAGGAATTTTTTCCTGGAATTCTGAGTAAATTGGAAGCTCAGATGTGCAGGGGAACTGGTGGTGATCCTGATCCCTGTGTTCCCTGGGGAGCAGCACTAAGGACAAGGTCCTTGGGAAGCTGTTTTTAATAGTTTTGGATAAAAGCTGCCCACAGGGTGTTTGGGAAGATGTTTTTTTAATAATTTTGGGTAAAAGCTGCCTGCAGGGGCCCTGGGAGGAAAGTTCTGGAGGTTCATGGCCTGGGCACGTTGATGTGTTGTGGCCCTCAGTAATGGATTTGGGAGGTGATCCATGAAATTGGCCAGGAAACTTTTATGGCAGGAGAAATGTGAGCTCTGATGAGATGAAATTAAGAAAATGAGTTTTAAACAAGAGGTGTATGGTGCTGGCCAGCTGAGCCCTAACATTTCCCATCCCTTAAATTAATGGGGCATTTGTACTTTCAGGGTCAGTGCAGCTGGAATTGGATCCTCTCCTCTTCTGCTTTTGTTCCCTTTTCCACTGCTGGATTATTGGTTCTGTTTGCTCTTTTTATTTGGATTATTTTTGGTGTGAGCACTGCCAGCTGCTGTGCTACAATTAGCCCAGTGGAGCAATTAACTACAATTAACATGGAGCTCTAATGAAGCAGGAGAAAAGAGTTTTATAAAGAGCCTGACATCATAACCCTCACAAGAGAGCTGTCACCCTCGTACTGGGCATACTGGTGTTACTGGGAGCTCCAAAATCCCACCCTGCCACCTTAGTGTGCAGCTGTGATCCCATGGAAAGCTCTTCCCAATATTCAGGAATGATTTTTTTCCCCAGGGAAAAAGGATTTCAGAGCTGGAGCAGTGTCCTAAGATGTGGTGTGGTCTCAAGCTGTCAGAAGTGTTATCTCACCTCCTCTCTCTTTCAGCTGGGGAAAAAAAAAATGCTTCTGTTCCCTGCTGAGTGCCAAAAATCCTCTGAAGTCTCCTGCTGGAACCCAGTGATTTGGAATATTAAGTAGGGAGAGTTATTCCAGCTTTGCTGGATGCAAGGAGAAGTGAGAAGGGCTGGGGAAATCTCAAAAGGTTTTTAGCAGAGATTGTTTTCAGCCGTTTCTTTCCTTCCTAGTACAAACCTCTTGCCTAAATCCTTTCAAATTTACTTAACAGGCTGAAGAATTCACACAAAAAATGAGTTTTTACTCAGTTTTCAACTGCAGGGACCCTCCCAAAAAGCACCTGCTGATGTTTCCCTGCCACTTCCTGCACCTGCCAAAGCCAAACAAAGGGAACGGGCACAATAAGGAAGAAAAGTGCTTTGCATGGATCCCACCATGGGAGGGAATGGGAATCCTGAACAGAGCCCTGTCCACGTTCTGTTTGCCAAATGAAATGTTTAAAGAGCAATATTCCATGGGGTGTGTGCTCCTGGGCATGGGAGCTCCAAGCTTTGCATTCCTGTAAAAAACTTTTCCTTGTGCTCTGAAAGTTGAGTTTGATGTCGTGGGGAAGAAATCCACTTTTTAAGGAATTGAAAATTAATGGGAACAGGACTGATGAGGAGGTGCCCTGGCACTCACACCATCATTTTATCTAGATGACTTTTATCTAGATGAGCAGAATCTTTGGAGATAAAATTTAAACCCACTTGGAGATAGAATTTATACCAACTTGCTAAGTAAATATTCTGCTTTTCACCTCCAACGTTGGGATTATAACTTTTAGTCTATTTTACAGACACTTTTAAGAGGACTTGGCACAGGTTTTGCCATTTTTCATCTCCTCCAGTGCTGTGTTATTACTCAAAGTGTGATTACAGCTTGGCACCTCGGATTTGCAGGTCACCAACTGTGAGAAACTGTCAGGGCAGCTCCTGTTGGAGCCCAGACCTCTCAGCTGAGCCTCAGCACACTCAGGTATTTCTTAAAGCCTTAATTTGAAGCAGATCAGAGTTGTTTTTTTGTTTTTTTTTTCCCTTCCAAAAACAGGAGAGGTCTTGGGCTGGAGTTCACCCCGGATCCATTTAAAGGATTCTCAACCTTTGCCCCAAAAAATTCACCACAAAATCCATCTGCCACAGTGCCAGCCTGGCCCACACACATCCAGAATATTTATGAATGAGTGGAAGACACAGAAGAGCTGAGTCACGCAGCCAGAGGTCGTTTCTGAAGAATAAAATTTTATTTTTTTGGGCTGAAAAAACTGCATACACATGTTCAGATCTGGGCAACCTTCACCACATGTCTTCGTTTCCAAACAAACTTGTGCTTTGAAGCATGCAGGAGCCCACTGCAGCTCGAGAAAGAAGTTAAGAGGTTGTTTTTTCGTTTTTTATTTTAATCTAGAACTGTGCAAACATCATTTGAAAGCTATTTACATTTTGCACCTCTCACTTCTACTAACAGGAGCATCAGCTGGTGGAGACGTGCAGTGTGCAGCTGTAATTTATGATTTGGCATCCACGTTTGATTTGTGTAGAGTGAAAACCAAACAAACCTCCCATTGTTCCAAAACCTCCCCACAGGCAATGGAAATAAATCAAATTTCTTCTTTGTAAAGGAGATCTCTTTAAGCTTTCCCTGCAGGTATTAAAATTTGATTTCCACTCTGGATCCTCTTCCCCTGGTGTTGATTTGCACTTTGCTGCCTTGATGAGTGGGAGCAGCAAGAAGAGATTTGATTTTCATCCGAGAAGGCAAGAGGGCACTGAGACAGAGCAGGGCTGCTTCTTCCTGTCATCCTCACTAAACTGCAAGATGAGGTGAATTCTTTTCAAAAAGGAAATATTTTAGACCACGTGAACTCAGATGCAGGAACTTAGACGTGAAAAAAGCTGGATTTAAGTTCATCCTCGTGTTGCTTTCTCTGGAAGCCTGGAAGTCAATCACCAGCCAGACACGAGCGCTCCACTCCTGCTGCATATCCTCATTTTTTATCTCCTCTAACCTGGCTGCTGGGCCGTGCTGGTAAAACTTTGAGTGTGATGAGCCACCAGAAGAGTGTCTGAGTGGAGATGGTTGGATGAGGCTGCTGGAAGTGCTGGGATCCTGTGTCACTGCAGCTGCTGTGTCCCATTCCCAGAGCGTTTATGGACGAGGGGCCGTGCTCGGTGCCTCGCTCTGCTCTCCAGGTGAAGCAAGCAGGGATTTCCTAAGAGCCAAAATCACAGAGGTGATTTCACAGAGCTGCTGGGCCCTGCTGCCACCAGCTCAGTTCAGCACCGTGCTCTCAGGCTGGGACCCGAAAATCTGCGAGAAGAATTCCAAGGCCAGGCGGACGTGGATGGGCACGAAGACGTAGGCCGTGTACACCACCATGGCCAGCACGGTGACAGTGATGGTGTGGAACATGGACTGCTCCCAGGGCTCCAGCACATAGCTGCATGTCACCAGCTGGTACTGGTAGTAGAGCCAGTACAGGTAGTCCTTCACCCTCTTCACGTCCATCTTCAGCTCCAGGGGGGTCGGAGAGCACCTGGAATGATGGGAGAGCGGGGTTAGTGTCCCATGGAACCGCTTCACAAACTCCTTTTCCAAGGTTTCAGGGCTGCCAGCTGCCCTGGACCAAAGGAAACTCGAGTTGTGCAGCTGCTGCTCTGTTGTTGGAGCTGTACCAGCTGGGCATTCCCACTTCCCAGAAAAGTTGTGGCTGCCCCATCCCTGCCAGTGCCCAAGGCCAGGCTGGGGCAAGCTGGGATAGTGGAAGGTGTCCCTGCCATGGCAGGTGTGGCACTGGGTGAATAAACTCCCTTCCAACCCAAACCTTCTTGTGATTCTAGCAATTCCCACATTCCAGGAGTGTTCTCCTATTCATTCTCAATGGAAATCAGGGAAATAGGCATTTACAAAGAAAGGCTTTGGGCCAGCTTCCCTAAATATTCCATAAATTCCATATATGTTCTATAAATTCCAGAAATGTTCCATAAATTCCACAAGTGTTCCATAAATTCCACAAGTGTTCCATAAATTCCACGTATGCCCTGCAATAAAGATGATATTGAAACAACTGCTCTGTAAAAACTCCTCTGCTTACTTTTGATAATCGTTTTTATCTCTCTGCAATTGTTGGGAATAAAGAAAAGCCAAGTTATGAAAGAGAAAGGGAGAAAAAGTAATCTCAGACTGCAGCAGGATTTTTTTTTGCAGCTCATTCCAAAGAAATGAAAAACATTACAGATTAAAAGAGTATTTAATGGAAATTACAAGCCTAGGAAAGATTTTCCTCCTGGGTAATACCTTTATGCATTCATTGTTCCCAGCTCCACTTGGAAAAGAGAATGACTGAGCAAGAATTAAATAGGAAATAGGGTTTGCTTCCACTGTTCATTGTGAAATGTGCTTTTTGGCATTTGAAGCAATCTTTAAATGCAGGCTAAAAGCAGCTATTTAGAGAAAATAGAATGATAAGGAAGTGTACAAGGCTTTACAGAGGGATTCTGATATTTTGGGGTTTGAGGCCATTCCAAGCAGATCAGTCCATAGGGAATTCAGCAGATTTCCCTGCTGGAAATCCTCCCAATGTCCCATTTTCTTCCTACATTTGTGCTGCCTGAAATGCCAGAACAAAGAGGTTTGAACACATCCCAGTCTGGTGTTCACTGTGAGTTTGGGGCCACAGAACTTTGCTGTCCCTCAAAGCAACAAATCCTAAAGGAGCACTGGGAAATTTGCAGCCTGGGCTTAAAATAATGATACAGGTCAAAAATATTCCAATATTCAGTGATTTCCTGTTCTGTTTTAGGGGGATGTGGGATTTACCAAAGGGGAAATTTCCCTGCTAATTCTCCCAAAGAGTTTCCTTCACTTCCATCTTCTCATATTTCCTAGAGCAAGAAATGCTTTTGGGGGACAGACCAACATTTGAAATTGAGCCGTGGCTGTCTCTGTGACCAACTTTTCAGAAAGGCACCAGTGCTCTCTGGCCGGGCATGAATGGAAGCTGATTCCTTTCAGATCATTTATTTGAAGGCAGAACTCCAGGGAGAGAGGCTTAAAGCCTTGGAAATATTGAAAAACCTTCAATAAAAAAAGTGGCCCAGCTGGCAAAGTGGGACTCCCTGGGAGCCAAAAGTGTCTCTGTTGAGACTTTGTGCAAAAAGAGCAACTTTCTCCACTGAGGGGTGAAGCCCTTTCCTGTACAGGGGGGAGGAGGGGAAGGGAAAATGGAAAAGGGAGAAGGGAGAAGGGAGAAGGGAGAAGGGAGAAGGGAGAAGGGAGAAGGGAGAAGGGAGAAGGGAGAAGGGAGAAGGGGAACCTTCTCTCACATTCTCCTTCTNGGAGAAGGAGAACCTTCTCTCACATTCTCCTTCTCCAGGATTATGGGATTTCCACTGGGGTTAGGGCTGTGCTAGTAAAACTCATCCCTTCCATGGGTAAATCCCTGCTAATCCCAACCCCTGCAGAGAAGCTGCAAGGCTGGAGCCCTGCTGGGGCTGTTTGAGGCTCTGAGTGCCCAGAGGTGCCCAGAGCCCACCCAGAGCTGGTTAAGGACAGCCAAAGGCAGGAAAAACATCCCCAAGGCTGATTTGACTGATATTCCAGGCTGCAGCCTCACCATCATCACTTGGAGGGCCACATGAATAAAGGATGAGGCAGTTAAAGTGATGAGCAGCCCTTTGGATTTATCCAAAGCCCTTGGCACCCTTTTTCCAGCCTGGGATTTGCATTTCCCTGCAGCTCCAGCACAGCCTGGCTTCCTTTGGTTCTCCCAGGGCAGTAATTCCATCCCCAGGCACTCAGACATTGTGGAATTCCAGGAGGAACACGAGCTGCCTTCGTGCTCTGCGGTCTCCTAATAAATGATGGAGGTTGGGATAAGTAAAAGGCAAAAGCAAATTACAGGCTGTGCCCTCACCACCGACACACTTCCCCTGCATTTCATCCAGCCTCTGCTAGCAGGGAGCTGTGCAGGGATAACACGACTCCAGCTGCATAATTTATAAAGGAAAAAACAGGAGGAGAAGGGAGAAAAAATCCATTTTAAAGCAGCTGCTGAGGCAATGAGAGACAAGGCTCCCCCGTGGCACACAGATCCCCTGGGGAAGGGACAATTTGCATCCCTTTGGGCCCATTAGGAGGAATAAGGAGTAGCCCAAAAACCCCAAAAACCTCACACCTCCCTGGCTCTGTGGCAGCTTTACCCACCCCAATGAATTGCAGCAACAATCAAAGGGAATAGCAGATTACCAGGCAAACTCTGGAGGCTAAAAATCTGTATTTTAAACAGGATTCATCCTAGAGAGGCTTCACTTCCATGAGTGTGTTTTATTCTCTACAGCTGGCACTCCCACTTGAAAGGGCCCTGAGTTATTCACTCATCAGTTCCCACTATTCCAGAGCAGGAGATAATTTGTTCTTATGCAATTTTAACTCAATATTCATTTGTCTACAAATTTGGATTTAAACATTCAGTGGTGTTGGGGAAATGCCTTCCTGTTTAGAGGCCATGGGACTGTTACAGCCAGCTATGAGTGAAATGAAGAGAATTCAGCTTCTGTTAAGCAATATTCAGATTATTTTCAGCAATTGCACCTCCAAGAGGAAAAAAAAAAAAAGCAAGAAGAGAAACCTGTAAAGCAGCTTTTAGTTTTTTAAGTGGCTGCCTGATTTTCTTGCTTGTTGACACATGTCTCTGATTCGAGCAGCTGAAAAGATAAATCATCATCCAAATATCAAGGTTTCATTTCTAATTGGAGCATTCCTAATCTCCCGAATTTCTTTATTAATGACCTTCTTTGGCAGAGTCAGAGCCAGCTGGGAGTTAGAAGATGCCAGTGTTAAGTCCTTTAATATGTAATTTCTGCTTTCAGCAGCTGGGATTTGGGGAATTTTGGTCACATTTTTCAATCTGCAACTCTGACCCGTGGCCGGACAACTCCTGCTGGGAAATTCCTGTGGAGAGAAACATTCTTGCAAGGGAACTGGGAGAGACTGGTTTCCAAAGAATGCTTCAAAAACACTTTATGCCCTCAGCAGGAGGGGTTGGTCAAATGATACACACAGGGAAAAAGGGTTTCCAACATAGATTGAGGAAAAGTTCATGTGGAGTGGGGAAAAACAAAGCCTGGAGCTGGAAATGGGCTCATGATCATTCAACAGGTGATCTCTGCTGCTTTAAATGCAAAATAGGGATGAGATGAGAAGGAAAAGCAGCAAACAATCAATCCATCCCCAAAATACAAATATTTAATTGGCTAAAAATGACCATTTGCTGAGAAATTGCTGGGATAGCCCAGCAGCAAGAGTGGCTGGGTTTTGCAGCATCCTGAGGGAATCCTCTCGTGCTGGAGCTTAAATAAATTCCTTCCACGAGTTCCTGAGGGGGTTCCTGTCCTGAGCACCCACACGAAGGCAGGTGCAACCAGGCAAAGTGCCAGGATGGATTTAAAGCCCTCTGATCTGTAAATAATTTTGATATTAGAAGCTGAATGGGGAATCAACTCCTTGGGATTGACACAGAAATTCTGTCTGCAGGTTACTGGTGTGGAACTGTTCTTATTTGTAGCTTCACTGTGCTCAGTGGGTTTATTCTGAATATCCTGATTTATCCAGGCCTGTCCCTCTAAATGCTGATATAATTCTGGGATGAGCCCAGTGATTTTATGCAGACTGACACCTCCAAGTGCAAACAGAACCAGGAAGGGATTCCCATTCCCATTCCCATCCCCATTCCCATTCCCATTCCCATTCCCATTCCCATTCCCATTCCCAGCCCATCAGGCATTTCCTTTCACGTTTTATTCAGTGAGCACCAAATGCATGAGGAATGAAGTGATCAGCAGTTGGACAGAAATTGAGATAAAGCAGCAGATTCCAAGGAATCCAAATCCCAGAATTTCTTGGGAACACCCCAGCCTGCTCCAGGGAATCCACATCCCAGAATTTCCTGGGAACACCCCAGCCTGCTCCAAAGAATCCAAATCCCAGAATTTCCTAGGATTAGCACCTCAGCCTGCTCCAGGGAATCCAAATCCCAGAATTTCCTGGGACCACCTCAGCCTGCTCCAGGGAATCCAAATCCCAGAATTTCCTAGGATTAGCACCTCAGCCTGCTCCAGGAATGCCACATCCCAGAATTTCCTGGGAACTCCTTTCCTCTGTTGTATCCCCACGGCTCTGATCCCTCATGGAGAAGCAGCTCAGCCTGGAGTTGCCTTCCCCTCCTGGCCAGCAGAGCCCTCAGGTTCCTGCAGCATTCCCACATGGATCTTTAAATTTCACCTCCAGCTTGTTCTCCCAGGGAGAAAATTCCAGACAGAATGGGAATGAGAGGAGCAGCAAGAATCCCAGCACAGCTCCCACTGCAGACAAGAATGCAACTCAAAAAAACCACCTTGACTTGCAGATTTTAATAAATAACCACCCTTGGAATTCTGGAGTGCACAGCAGAACCTGAGGGGTTTGCTGTAAAAAAAAAAAAAAAATCTTCCAGGAATGGAAGGGGTAAGGCTGAAAGACAAGGATACACCTCAAAAACCACCTTGACTTGCAGATTTTAATAAATAACCAGCCCTGGAATTCTGGAGGGTGAAGAAATCCTGGTTTCTCTCCCTCAACACCCTTGGCCATCCATTACAGAGCTGCAGGAAATGTAAATAAATCCCTTCCATATGTCCTGTGCTGCACCAGGATGAGGGTCTGAGCTGGGGAAATCTTCGTGCTGCACATGACTCAGCCATTCTGCATGTGGGTGAGCTGGGAAAAAAAAAAATAAAAATCTTCCAGGAGTGGAAGGGGAAAGGCAGAAAGAGCAAAGGTGTTTTCAGCCCTGTTTGTGTTTTACCTCGCTCAGGACAATGAATTCCAGCATCTTTCTAATCTTTAATCCCAACTTCCTTCCTGCTGGCCCCAGTGGGAGCATGCAGGTGTTATTTTGGTTCTTTCAAGTGTTACATAGTGCACACAAGGCTCAGCACCTTTCCCTGTCCAGGAAAACTTCCTTTTACCTCTGGGACCTCCAAACCCTTCCTCGAGTGGCAGTGCCACACCTGCACAAAGTCTGACCCAACTTCCTCGTCTCCACCTGAACCCTGACCTGCGTGTGTGCTCCTCCTGCAGCAATTCTGGCCTCCCAGAGTGGGGTTTGGGCTGGAATTCAGCTCCATCTCTGCCAGGAGCACATGGATTCTGCAGCAGGAGAATTCCTCACCAGCTGCATGGCACAGCAGCCAGGGGCTTGCTGAATTTTCTCCTTCAGCTGAGTTAAGTACACAGATGGAGTTTATAACAACGTGGAAAAGTCCTTTCAAACGAAAGCCACCAATTTTTGACCCTCAGGAAAGCAGAGCTTGATCTGCAGCACCCACGGGGATCTCCTTTGGAGAGAGGCTTCTCACCATTCAGAACCAGCAGAGCAGCTGAAAGCAGCTGAAGGTGGCATTGATTTCATGCCTTCGCTGTCCCCTGACAGCTGGAGGCTGCTCCCAGCAAAGCCACGGCTCTAAATAACTCAGCTGCCCCCAACTTTGCAGCCTGGCTGATTTATCAGTGCCCAATCCCATCCTTAGGCACAGGGAGAGGAGAAGATGCAGCTTCTCTGTAACAGCAACGTTCCTGGAGCAGCTCTGTCCCATTTTCTCCCAAGGCCAAATTAATTTTTCAACAATTTTCCTGTTCTTCCCTCCCCTGAAGTTTCCTCAGTTGTTTCCTTATATAATCAGCTGCTCCTTGCAGTTTAGGTACAGGTCCCTTCCTTTCCAGCATGGTTTGGGCTCTGGGTGCTTCCCTTGTGCCAGGATTTGTACCTTGGAGCAGAACAGGGAGCAGCTCTGCCACAGAAGATGGGGAAATGGCAAATTGAATCCCAGGGAAAGGGATATAAAGTATAATTTAGGATCATGGTTTTGAACAGAACTATTGCCAAGCAAACCCTCAAATTTGGGGCTAGAGACCAGCCAGCAGCAGATTTAAATTGCTAATACTTAAAAATGAAAGTTTTCAAAGAACTGTTCCAGGAGTATCTCAGAGGGGTTTTGCATTTGCTCCTGGTGGCAAACCTCAGTTCCTTGTGGGATTTTGGGACATCATCTACGTCCTTCAAAGGCTTTCAAGTTCAGGAGGTCGTGTAAACACATCAATCTATCAGTAAAATAACTGAGATGTCTGGGGCTCTAAAATAAGATGTACTTTCAGTTGTAGCCCTTATTTTATTCTGATTTGTTTGCTTTGCTCTGAGTCATTTCTGAGGCAGCTGAAAGTAGCAGCTTGGGCTGTGTGCAATGTGAGGAGGTGAATATTGTCACAGCTATTACAGGTATTAGTGGAAAATGGGACCAAACTCTTGTGCAAGTGCATCTTCCTTGAGATCCCATCAAAGGAAGCAGAGTTGCACCACTCCTGTCACTGCTCCAAGAGGGGAAAAGCAAAAATGGAGTGAGATTCTTGCAGCAGATAAGAAATAAAAAAGGGAGATGCACTTTTTTCACAGCTTTAACCCCATCTATGCAGAGGGAACAGCTTCCTTTGCAGTTCCCTTCCTCGCTGTGAGCAAACAAGTCTGGACACACAGAGCTGTTGATATCCATAAAACGAATGAAAAGCTCCATAAAATGTGGCTTGGCAGCACCCAGAGCAGAGCCCCGGCTGCCTCTCAGCCAGCTGGAGCTCGGTGTCCTGGTGCTGTGCTCTGCACCACCCGTGCTGGGTGGTTTTTTTGGGCACAGAGGGGTGGCACAAGCAGTGCCCTGGGCCCAAGCTGCTCCCCAGGCAGCGTTTCAGCATCTCCCATTCCAGCTGGAATGTTGGAATTAACTCCATGCTCCAGCTTCCCTGCTTCTCTGCACTAAACCTGCACCAGAAATCACTCCAGGCACTCATGGAATTGCTCTCAAGACACATTTGTACCATATCATTTGTACCATATTCATGAAAGAAAACCCAGCATCTCAATTCCTAAAGCATTAAAATCTACATTAAACCCCCTCAAAATTCCTTGTGCTGACTAAGCAGAGCCCAAGCATTTATTGCAGGGATTCTCCTCCATATTATCCAAGGTTTATCCAACAGGGAAGGCAGGACTTGCACCTGCTTCCCACTGAAGGCAGCCACCAGCAGCTCAAAGAAAACCGAAGAGGAAAAACTGTGCCAGCGACGAGCACTCCCAGCACAGCCACCTTCCCTTCTCCATCACCCCCCACCTATTTTCACCTTTTCACTCCGGACTGTTGGGCTGGTTTTTGGGGAATCCCTAAGGCAAACCCATCTTCCTGCCACCTGGAAATCCCCGACTGCAGAGCTCCAGCAACAAGTCATGGTGTGGCTTGGAAGGGACCTCAAAGCTCATCTCATTCCAACACCTTGAACCGCGAGAGCCCTGGCTGGAGGCTGCAGGTGCGGCTGGAACCGCAGCAGCTCCGGTGAGGAAGGCACAGCACAGCAACCCCCGCCGGTTCTGCAGCTGCCAGCCCTGCTCCCGGGCCTTCCCCCGCTCCTTACCGAGCCACCGGGGACTCGCCGTGGCAGCGGCCGCGCTCGCCAAGGTCACCGGTCCCTGGCTGGGAGATGCTCCGGGACGCGTCTCCGCCGCGATGCCCTTGGGCGAGCTGAGCTGAGCGGGGAATGAGCACCGGGATGCGGGAACACCGGGATGGAGGAACACCGGGCTGCAGCACACCGGGATGCGGGAACACCGGGCTGCAACACACCGGGATGCGGGAACACCGGGATACGGGAACACCGGGATGCAGCGCCCCGCGGCCCCGCGCCTCCCTCACCTCCGCTCCGCTCACCGCAGCTCCCCAGCCCGGCGCTGCCCGCGCTTAAATCCTCACCTTTCCCCCTCCCTCCTCCTCCACCTCCTCCTCCTCCTCCTCCTCCTCTTCCTCCCCGTTCCTCACCTCGCTCCCGCTCGCTCCCGTGGCCGCGCTCCCGGCCGGTCTCTCCGCCCCGCCCGCCGCCGCTGCCGCAGCCGCTGCGCTCGGGTTTGCGGCGCCGGGAGCGGGGGAGGAGGAGGAGCGGCCGAGCCGGGCTCGGGGAAACCCGTGGGATGGAGCTGGCTGGCACCTCCGGGACGCCGGCTGTTTCCCTGGAGCTCCGTGTTTCCCTGGAGCTCCGTGTTTCCCTGGAGCTCCGTGTTTCCCCGGCTTTTCCCTGCGCTGGCGTCATGCGGGATGCGCCAGAGCTGTCCCGCACTTCTTATCGCACCCCGCTATCGCGACAGACACCCTTCACACAGCACCCCTCCATCGCCACAGACACCCCTGCAGCGTCCTTATCCTGCCAAGGGTGCCGGCAGGTGCCTGCGAGCATCCCGGCCCCAAGGGAATGAGTGGGAAGGAGCTGGAGCTGCAGGAGAGGAGATTTGGGATTTGGGATTTGGGATTTAGCATTTGGCATTTGGCATTTGGGATTTGGCATTTGGTGTTTGGGATTTGGGATGATTTCACATTGATCCGGTCCCCCCAGGTGTCAGGTGAGGGGTTTCCAGAAAGGATAGGGATGGACAATCTGAAAATCCCGAAACCTTGTGGAACACAACGTGACCCTGCCAATCACGAGCCTCAGGTTTATTCTGTCGCAGAGATAAAAAAGCTTAATTTAGTGTCCTGCTCGCTACCAAACATCTTCTTTGGAACAGAACTTTGCAGTTTAAGTGAGAAATAAACGTGTCAGAAATGCTTTTCCCCCTGGAGCAGCAGATTCCAGGCACAATCTCCCCCACTGAACAAAGCGTCGCTGCCTTCCGACCACAAAGGAACGCAAACCCTTTCGAGAGCCAGGTGTAGCAGCTGCGCTTAAAGCTTCTCTTTTCCTGTTCGAACCCATTTTTAAGAGCTTTCAAATTGCTCTTTCCCCTTTAAAAGGCGCTTGCACAAACAGAGGCGCGCAGGTGACAGAGGGGCCATCAGGATGTGACGATTTCCAACCCAACCCGACCGTGCCTCTCTCCGCCGCTGCTGTTTTTATGGATGTTGACTGTGGAACTGATGCTTGTTTAGCCTTTGATATGAAAATATTCCCGTGCAAAGGTTTTGTTTAAAATCAGATCCATTCCTAGCTGGGAGCAGAGCCCCGCCTGTCCCGGAGCTCGGTGTTGGGTCTGGGCACGAAATCCCGGGATGGGCAGAGGCTGAAATGGCCAGAGTGGTTTTGTCGGTGATCAGCCAATCCCCTAAAAACCATGGCAAAAGAATTTTGGGTTTTCAGGGAGCTTGTTCCACACAGCAGTTTAATTTTGGGTATTATTTCCAGGGAGATATTTCCAGGTATTATTTCCAGGTATTATTTCCAGGTATTATTTCCAGGTATTATTATTTCCAAAGAGGAGTTTACAAAAAAACCAGAACAATCCAACAATGTCATTAAATGCACCCACCCTGATGAACTGCCTGGCTTCTGATGGGCACAGAATCCCTGAATCTTGGAATCATTTAGGTTGGAAAAGATCTCCAAGATCATTGGGTCCAAGTGTTCCCAAAGCCACCACTAAATCCCAAATGTCACATCCCCAAAGCTTTTAGATCCCTCCAGGGATGGGGACTCCATCCCAGCTGTGCCAGGGATATTTCAGGGAGAAATTGTTCTCAAAATCCAAACTGAACCTCCCCTGGCACGACCTGGGAGCAGAGCCTAACCCACCCTGGCTGTCCCCCCCCGGCAGAGCCACAAAGTCCCCAAAATTATCCCCCAAAACCGACCAAAATTCACCTTAAAATTCAACATTCACCCAAATTCACCTGAGGTGAATTTTGGCTGGTTTAGGGGTGACTTTGGGATCATTTCGAGGTGAATATGGGTGAACTTTGACGTGAATTTTGAGGTGGATTTGGGTAAACTTTGAGGTGAATTTTGGCCAGTTTTGGGGATAATTTGGGGATATTTTTGAGGTGAAATGGTTAATTTGGGTGAATTTTGAGGTGAATTTTGGGGAAATTTTTAGGTGAATTTCTGGGGGAATTTTTGACATTTTGGGGGGATAAAAAAATTAAATCCCCAATCCCCCTTTTCCTTAGGCTGAGGCTCTTCCCATCTCCCCCAGGAATTTTCCAGCCCTTCCCCATCTCCCCCAGGAATTTTCCAGCCCCTTCCCCATCTCCCCCAGGAATTTTCCAGCCCTTTTCCCAGCTCCCCCAGGAATTTTCCAGCCCCTTTCCCATCTCTCTCAGCTTCTCCAGGGGCTCCAAACCCTTGACCCCCAGGTGAGATCAGCAGTTGTTGTGGAGGAAGGTTCAGTGTTGTATAAATTTGCCTTTGACACACTCTGGCTGATCAATTGGAGAAGGATTTGCCTGACAACGAATTTCAGATTTGCTGATAATCCAGTTTTGTTTGCCTTGAGACAAGGCAGGGCTGCCAGGCCCCGCTGGTGTTTCCAGAGGGAAGAACCTCTGGAGTCAGAACTGATTGAATTGAGGATTAAAAGCTCTTTTCTGAGAAGTAGGACAGGGTTTAATGGAAAGGAGGCTGAGGTTTGATTTATCAGTGCCTGCTGGAGAGGGAGGAAAGGCTCTGCTTCCTTCCCTGACTCAGGAGAAGCCTCTGGCTTGTCCCTTGCAGGGAATGAAAATCAAATTAATGAAACAGGAACAAAAAATGAACCAAAAAAACCCCCAAACAAACAAACAAACAAAAACTTTTGAATTAACTTTTCTATTACGGCAGAGTTTGAAAAGGAGAGACTTCATGTGGGTAAATAAATTTATTTATGAACTTTTTATGATCCTTCTGCACTGAACAAAGGAGCCCCAAAACCTCCCAATGCCTTAAAATCAGGCCTGGAAAATAAAAGATGAGGAACACAACTACATTAAATTGCCAATTTCCTCAGGGTTCCATCCTCCTGCTCCAGACCTGCTTGAACCTCAGCCTTCCCTGAAAGCCCCGTGCTTGTCATGGTAAAAAATCAGACCAAATTACCTGTATAAAGCAGATAAAAATATGGGAGTTTGTTTCCTTGTCTGCCCGGGGGCTGCTGCTCTGGATGATCTGCTCCTTTCCTGGTTTGGCCCCTGGGGATTTGTGTTAATTATTGCTGGGGATTCCAGCTCGGTTTTGGCTCCTGCAGGAAACATCCAGCTCAGCCCCTGGAGACAGGAATAAAATCCCTGCCCTGCCAGAAAGGCCAATGTGGCATTTCTAGAACCTGGGAATATTTCCTGAGCCTTTGGGCTCTGTCACAACCCTGAGGGAATATTTTACAACAGGCTCTTCCCAGCCTGAAGCACTGGAGGGTTTTCCAGAAAATCCAATTTCATAGAATCCCAGAATTTGGGTTGGAAGGGGCTTTAAAATCACCCAGCCCCACTCCTGCCATGGCAGGGACAGCTCCCACTGTCCCAGGGAACTCCAAATCCCAATGTCCAACCTGGCCTGGGACACTGCCAGGGATCCAGGGACAGCCACAGCTGCTCTGGGCACCTTCCCCACCTTGACAGGAAGGAATTTCTCCCTAAAATCTGATCTGAGCAGATTGAGGATGTTCCTGCAAACCCAACCAAGCGACAGCCTGAACTCTTTTCATTTTCCAGCAGTGGGAGATCTGGATGTGCTTTTTTCAGATCTTGTCTGGCTGGTGAGTCTGTCTTGATTAATGGCAAGGAAACTTCCAGGGTCAGCATGGATTTTGGCAGAGTTTGCAGAATATTCTGGGCAGAGGTGATGCTCTGGCTGAGCCTGAGGTTGTTGTGCTGTTAATTGTGTTGCAGAGTAATTTGGTGTGTGGTGATCCTGTCACCCTCCCCTGACAAAACCGCAGTTAAAGCCGACCTGACAAATTAGAGAACAGCCCTTTTATCTAATGAAGGACAAAGCCACCAGCACTGCGGGGTGGGGGTGACAACCCTCTGTTTGTCACCGTGTGCTCCAGGGGCCACCACAGCTCCTGTTCTGGGGATTGGTGGCTCTGCAGTGAGGCAGGAGAGGCTCAGTGGTGGCAGCAGTGGCCGGGTCTGATCCTCCCTCCTGCCGTGATTTCCTCCGGAATTTTGTGCCAGATAAGTTCCGTGGTTCCTTCTGAGAAATTCTGTTTTATGGGGATCTGTTCATGTGTGGCATTGGGTGATTTAGGATTATTTATCAGCAGCCTCGTTCTCAGTATCAATATCAATATTAATTAATGTTCGGCTGCAGGAGGGGCTGGGTGGAATTCTGGGATCAGGAACAAGTAATTAGAAGATAAAGGAATAATCAGCTTGGAGAACAAGGGCTGGGCAGGATCTCCAGTCCTGGCTGAGTCACATTTTCACATCTCTGCTTCCTGCTCTGTCCCTTGGCCAATCTTAAATTGCTCCAGCCAGGCTGGACTCTGGATCAGCAAAGTGTGTGATCTCCTGGGATAACTGGGATAACTGGGATAACTGGGATAACTAACTGGGATAACTGGGATAACTGGGATAACTGGGATTTGTTCCTGACCTGGAGATCCCAACGTGGCCATGCTCCCACCCTCACTGGGATATCAGGTGGGAATCCCCATCCCACAGCTGGGAATGCCTGGGTTGCTCCCGGAGTGTTCCAGAGGCAAATCCAGCTGTTTTGGGAGGTTTGAGTTTCCCTCTGGAGAAGGAATCCCAGAGTTTGGGGTGTTCTGGGAGGAATCACCCATTGAACAGATTCCACTCTTGCTGGAGAAGATTTTCACCTGGAGAAGGGTGAACTTTGAGACCAACCAGGGAAATTTCCTTAAAATGAGGAATTCTTCCCATACATGGATTTTTTTTTTTGTTTGTTTGTTCCCCCCTGTATAGGTTACTGCTCCCAATGCAAACAGGTTTGAGCAGTGCAGGTCTCTCAGAACCTTGATTTTTATGTTCAAAAAACTCTATTTTGGGAATTTATCCCGGGAAAATGTTTGGTTTAGAGCATTGTGCCTGTCCTGGGTGGATCCCCATGGCTCAGGGTCTGTGGGGTCATTAATTCTTGGGGCTGGGATGTTTGGACAGGGTGGGATTGTTGGAGTGCCCCGTCCAGGAATTGGACTGGATGATGCCTGTGAGGTCATTCCAACCGGGATATTCCCTGGAAAAATCCAGGATATTCCCTGATTTTTGTGCTTCAGCTACAAACCCATCCCTGGCAGAGCTGTTGGGAGCTCCTGGAGCTCCCTCTTGTGCTGAGCCTCACCTGGAGCAGCATTTTCCGTGTTTCCTAAAACCTCCCGTGTTTTCCTTCTCCATCCCTGCTCTTCCCCGAACCCCCTTTTGCTGCCCCCCATTCCAGCAGGAGGTGACATCTGGCACAGCTGGCACCGCAGCTGGAGGCTCTGTCCCCTCCGTGGAACCCGAGGAATCCTTCCCACCTCAGCACCTTTTGCTCCTTCTCCCTTTCCAAGGGGAAAACAAGAGATGGAAATGAAAAACAAGAGATGGAAATGAAAAATAAGAGATGGAAATGAAAAATAAGAGATGGAAATGAAAAATAAGGGATGGAAATGAAAAATAAGAGATGGAAATGAAAAGCAAGAGATGGAAATGAAAAATAAATGGAAATGGAAAACGAGAGATGGAAATGAAAAATAAGGGATGGAAATGAAAAATAAGGAAATGGAAAACAAGAGATGGAAATGAAAAATAAAGAAATGAAAAATACGAGATGGAAATGAAAAATAAGGGATGGAAATGAAAAATAAGGAAATGAAAAATGAGATGGAAATGAAAAATAAGGAAATGAAAAACAAGAGATGGAAATGAAAAACAAGAGATGGAAATGAAAAATAAGGGATGGAAATGAAAAATAAGGGATGGAAATGAAAAATAGGAAATGGAAAACGAGAGATGGAAATGAAAAATAAGGAAATGAAAAATATGCGATGGAAATAAAAACTAAAGGATGGAAATGAAGTCACTCTGCTCCTGCCCTAATCCTGGTGGCATTCCTGGTGGCATTCCTGGTGGCATTCCTGGTGGCATTCCTGGTGGGATGTCCTGTGCAGAACCAGCAGTTGGACTTTAATGATTTGTTCCAGCTCAGGATATTCTGTGATTGGAGTCAGGAGATCTAAAAAAATACCATTTATTTTACAATTAATTACGATTTACTGCTATTATTCATCCCCCTGTTTATTTTTTGGAGATATTTTGCTGCCTCTGCTGCTGCTTCTGGGTGAGTTGCAGAGGAGCTGGAGAGTTTTAGGCATCTCTTCCAAAGAAATCAGTGGGAATCTTTTTTTAGTGCACATCCGGAGCCCTTGCAGCGAGTTTGTAGATCAGAAAAAAAAAAAAAAAAAATTCTCATTCTCCTTTGCTTTTTAATTCCCTAAATACCACAAACTCCCCAAATTCTTCGAGTCCAGCACACAGAGGCTGTTTTATTCCCAGATTTTTGCTTCCAGCTGTGATTTGAAGGTGCTGCATCACTTTGAACTGTGCTGGAACCCTGGCTTTGATTACACAGCCCGGATTTGCCAGAGCCGAGAAGAATTTGGGTGAAAGGAAAGCAAAGCTTTCCATTTCCTTATTATTTCCTTATTTCCTTAATTTCCTTTATTTCCTTATTTCCTTATTATTTACAAGGAGTTTTGCAAGACCTGCCGAGGTGAAATCACCTGCGAATTGAACTCTGTGCCACAGGATCCTCTCCTGAATTAAATCTCGGAGCCCTTTGTCTCCTAAAATGCTGATAAAATGCTGTTAAAAATGTGGGGAGTTGGTTGCTGGAGGGATTTGCCGGGATTAAAGGAGGATTCCAGAGGTTTTTCTTGGGCTGGGGGAGGGAATGACAGCCCTGCCCCAAGGAAGGAGCCACTGTCACCTCCAGCCTGGAATTCCAGCCCCTCCTCAGCCACTCATTTTTCCCTGAAATCTGGCACTGGGCACAAAGAGGGCAAGAAAACAAAAAAAGCAAAGCCAAGGCTCTTGAGGGTGGTTTTGTTTCCCAAACAAATAAGGAAAAGAAGGAAAAAAAAGGAAAAAAGTGAAAAAAAGGGAAAAAAAAAAAGGTGTCCATGACATCCTGGGGCTGCCTCACAAAGGGAGACCCCGGTGCAGAAGGGGAGCCAGGGAATTTTATCCCTTTTCCCTTTTGCCTTTCTCGAGTTCCCAGAGGAGACAAAGGATGCTTTTCTTAGCCCAGACCTCGGGACAAAGGAAATCCTGGAGCAAGGTTTGGGATAACACCTGAGGGAATATGTTTTACATCCCAAAAAAGTTTTAAACCCCAGCCCCAGTGTGGGAGTTGAGCCCAGAATAATTCCTGAGCTGTAATTCTGGTGTCTCCCATAAATAACTGCGTGTTTCTGGTGGTTAAATCTGCATTTCAGGATTCCAGAGACTGGAATAGGCACCAGGAAATTCTTAAATAATTCCCTAATCAATTATTTTTGGGAAATAGAAGCTTTTGGATCTCCTAGCCAGGAAATTTAAAGAGAAATAAATCCCAATTTTGGGGATTTGGACCAATATTTGGTACAGGGGTTGTGGGATCCACTGGCACAGACTGGTGCAGGTTTTCCCCATCTCATCTTCCCCCAATATCTGAATTTTAGTAACACCAAATGTAATGAGACTGAATTTACAGGGAGATCATTTTATCTCTCTGAATCCAATGGAAATCCCCATGAATGTATTTTCTCTGGCCAAGTATTTAAAATCCTACATGAACCATTGCTCTTTTTCTGTGTAAATGAAATATTTTTTACCCCACGCAATATTTAAAGTTCTCATTCCAAATGAATCCCCTCTAGCCCTCAATTTAAGCTGAAAACAGAACAATTATGAAGCAAAACCCAAAGATTATTTTCGCTTTTGTTTTGCTTCTCTCAAGTATTTAATTCACAATTTGATCATTTGTGGGAAAAAAGTGAATTACCATAAATTTGCTCTTAATAAAGGGAATTTCATTTTTGCTCTCATGATCCCATAGAGCTTTTTCAAATTTTTCTCATTCCACACTCCCAGCTCGGGGAGGCCAAATCTGAATTTTAAATACAGAAACCTGGACCTTGCAGAAATAAATGGACAAAATTCCTTCTCCTTTGGGTCCTCACTGTCCAGATAAATTCCCTGTGAATCTGGTACCCGGTGAGTTGAGACAGGAGCATCCCTAAATCCCCAAAAACTGCTCTGGGGGAGAGCCACAACACCCAAGCAGCATCCCAGGGTTGGGTTTTCTGGGATTTCAGGGACACCTGGCTCCTTGCAGGGGATTTTCCAATCCCAGGGTTTGATTTCCTGGGATTTCAGTGTCACCTTGTTCCTTCCAGGGGATTTAAAATCCCGGGATTTGAGGGGAGGATTTAACTTCTTGGGATTTCAGTATCACCCTGCTCCTTCCAGGGGATTTTCCAGTCCCAGGATTTGATTTCCTGGGATTTCAGTGTCACCTCGCTTCTTCCAGGGGATTTAAAATCCCGGGATTTGAGGGGAGGGTTTGGTTTTCTGGGATTTCAGTGTCACCTCAATCCTTGCAGGGGATTTTTCCAATCCCAGGTTTTTGTTTTCTGGGATTTCAGTGTCACCTCACTCCTTCCAGGGAATTTAAAATCCCAGGATTTGAGGGAAGGATTTGATTTCCTGGGATTTCAGTGTCACCTCAATCCTTGCAGGGGATTTAAAATCCCAGGATTTGAGGGAAGGGTTTGATTTCCTGGGATTTCAGTGTCACCTTGCTTCTTCCAGGAGACTTTTCCAATCCCAGGATTTGATTTCCTGGGATTTCAGTGTCACCTTGTCCTTGCAGGTGACTTTGCCAACCCCCCCTGGTCTCCCCTGCAGGCTCTCATTGGCCAGGGCAGCAGCTGGGATAAAATAAAACCGATTCTCTCCCAAAATAAGATTTCCTTTTTCCAGGTGCCAAGGAGGTGGGGGTCCTCCCGGGAGCAGGAGCGTTTGTAAGGTAGGAGAGAGTCATAGAATTTATATAAAATAAATATAATAAAATAAATTAATAAAAAAAAAAAGATTTGTCTCCAAATGTATAATCAATGTATAACTGCATGAGGATTAGGGTTTTTCTTTCCTCACACATCTAAGAGCTAGAAATAATTAAACAAGATAAAGTGCAGTCATCTTCCTGATATTTAAAACTGATGGATTGGGGTTAAATTCCTGTTGTGAACTGGAATAACTGGAATTTTAGGGAGCAAATGTATTATTACCATTTTATTATGGGAAATATGTTCATAATTAGTAGATTTTTAGATCCAATTAAACGTAGATGAATTTTAGGAATTCTATGACACTGCAGCAAAGTTTAATTCTTATTTTTTTATCCACTGTGAATTATAATTTTAGTGGGGAGGATTCCAATGGATGATTTTGCATTCAGTGGTGGTGAATTAATGCAATGAAAAAGTCCAAAATTTCAATTTTATTTAGGTACATTTATTTAGAATCACAGACTGGTTTGGGTTGGAATAGACCTTAAAGCTCATCTTGTTCCAACCCCCTGGCATGTAAAAAAAAATCCTAAAATAATTATTTAAGAATAATTAATGTAGGAACAGCCTTGCCCATTAAAATGAAAATCTCTTTAGCGATTCCTTGCTCTGAGGATTTAATTTTTTCAGGCTGGGGAGGGATAATTTGGTTATTAATGATGTTTTTCCAGTGTTTGACAGCAATCCATCAGTCTGGCTGCAGAACTGGAGAGTGCCTGGGTTTGGGGCTTGTGATGTGTGACAGGAAAACTTAGGAAAGGTTTGGATTTGAGAACTGAATTAGATTTTCCCTATAAAGTTAATTAAATCCCTAAAATCTCTGGGGGGGTTTTGTGTGTAAAAAATGAGTTTGTTTACTTATCTCCAGCTGTTACAGGATGCTCCTGTGTGAGGATATTGTTCAAAAGGAGAATTTGGGTTTTTTTTCCTCTTTCCAGGCAGGAGATGATCCTTTTTTGTCCTTTTATTCCTCTTTTTTTTTTTTTTTTTTCTCCGTTTTTTTCTCCTTTTTTTTTCTCCTTTTTTTTTCTAATTTTTTTCCCCTTTTTTTCCCCCCTTTTTTCTCCTTTTTCTTTATGTCTGCAGCTTCAGGCTCTGGCTGCTCCCTGGTGCTGAGCATCTCCCTCCACAGCAACTTCCCAGGAAAACTCTTCATGGTAAGGCTGGCAGGGGAAAAAAAAAAAAAAATCTCAGCCTTGGACAAAAAAAACCCAAACCTGAGCATGGAATCCCATTCTAATTAAACACACTCATGGAGAAGGGATAATTTATGGATAATTTATCCTTATGGATTGAATGGTCCCCATGGGCAACCCTGGGGGATTTATGTGGGGAATCCATTTTCTATTAAATAATTTAATTTTGAGTGAAAATGGAGAGAAAATAAAAATAAAATTTAAAAAATTTCCCCTCTTTCCTCTAAACCAGAACAGTTAGAGATGGAAATGTTCTGATCCAGGCCCCAAATGCCTGGTTTGGAGCTGGATCTCCTTTTGCCTTTTGGATGACAGGGATGGGGGGGTCTCTCCTGGAGCTCTGGGAATGCTCTGGCTCCTGAGGAAGGTTGGGTTTCAGCTTCAGCAAGAAAAGGGGCTCTGTTCCATTTGCTTTTACAGGTGGGGACCCTGCTTTAAAAAAAGGAACAAAGGTGCTTTTTGTGATTTTTTTTTTTTTTTTTTTTGGTGAGTCACCTGAGAGGCATCACCTGGCCTATAGGAAAACCTCACCCTTCTGCCTTTGTCCTTTCTTCCTGGGCCAGCTGAATCAACACTTTAAAAATAAAAAGAGCAGATGTGAAAGTTTGCACTAAAAAAAAAAAAAAAAATCCAGAAAATCATGCAGAAAGAAAGGAAAAAAAAAATCAAGATAAAAATTTTGGTATATTTGATATTTGATTCTAAAGTAGCTGAGTTTGGAAAACTCAGTGTTTTATTTTGTTTCCATTTATTCTTGTAGAGAAAAGCTTTTTATTGTGTGTAGTTGTGCTGGACTCTGAAATCATTATGGAATTCTGTCCATATCCTTCCAGGACCTAAAGGGGGGTCACAAGAGAACTGGATATGGAGTGATAGGATAATGGGAATGGCCTGGACATGAGGAAGGGCAGGGTTGGATGGGATTTTGGGAAGGAATTCCTGCCTGGGAGTGGGGGGAGAGGCTGGGATGGAATTCCCAGATTTGCTGTGGCTGCCCCTGGATCCCTGGCAGTGCCCAAGGACAGGCTGGACATTGGGATTGGAGCAGCCTGGGATGGTGGGAGGGGTCCCAGGGATGGAATGGGA